AAGTTTTGTATGGTTTTGTCAAGTAATATATTGCATAGAGATCGACCAGTATGTTTTTGTCTTTGCTGATACTTAATAATTAGAGTTTCATACAAACTCATGCCTTAGAGATAGAGTCAGGAGCTCAGTTACAAGGAAGAGGTTGGAATAGAGCCGCTGCTCCTCTACGTCAAGAGGAGCCAGCTGAGGTGGCTCAGGCATCTGTTCTAGATGCCTCCTGGGCGCCTCCCTTGGGAGGTGTTCCGGGCATGTCCCACTGGAAGGAGGCCCCAAGCAAGACCCAGGACACACTGGAAGGACTATGTCTCTTAGCTGGCCTGAGAATGCCTTGGGCTGAGCTGGAGGAAGTGTCCGGGGTGAAGGAAGTCTGGGAGTCCCTGCTTAGACTGCTGCCCCCGCGACCCGGCCCCGGATAAGTGGAAGAAAATGGATGGATGGATGGATGGCTAAAAGCGTACCCGTAGTTACATTTTGTGCAGAACTCTCTTTGGATAAGTGTTCAAATAACGCTTCATGCAGTTCATTAGGCAGCAAGAAAACAAATTAAAGTCACTCGTGGCGATGATGGCCCTCGACCTGGCACATGCACACATGCCCTCCCACGTGACTGCCCGACATGCTATTGTCCCTTCCCGACAGCTGTCCAGGCCCACACATCCTCCATCATAAAAATTACACACTGCACCTTTAAATTTATTTATTTATTTTTTTTTTATCTTTGCGCCCCTGCTTGTCACCCATGAAAAATTACCTATGTCCATAATATATGCTTGTAGTCATACATAGAATGTAATCTCCAAATATATTAATTCTGACTCTCCTCATTATAAAATAAACAAAAACTTATCTCTGTCTAATTCATGTCATATAGAAAATATTTTAAAAGAAGTAGTAAGATAGAGATCAAAACATGATACCTTAGAGTCGTTTTCCAGTCTTTTGATTTCATTCTTTAGCTTACTTTCTAAAAAACACAAAACAACAACCTTATAAGACCATAAACCTTTGTATTTACAGATTTAAATTGTGTAAATAAATCTGTATCTTACCAACGTTGGCATGTTCCTCTACCATATTCTCCATGAACCTGACAGACAGAGCCACCTCTCTGTTCTTGATCTGAAACAGAGATTTCACAGTGTGTAGTGGCTGTAGTGTATGATGTATGTGAAGCCTGGTACATAAATACTATAGGCAACACGGTGAGGTGTCTTGCCCAAGAACACAACAGCAGTGTTGTTTTAAAAGTGATAATTTTGATTACTATAATAATTTGTCATGACGAGGGGGAAAAATAACGTCTACACAATTTTGTTGATTACAATTATACATAACAATGCTATTTCATCAATAGCACTCAGTAACAGGTAACAGTCTCATTGGTCACCACCTGCAGTTGTGTATAAGTTCAGAGACAATGGTGAAATTTTACAACTGAAGAAGGTGGTCACATCACAAAATTTTCACACTGAATTAAAATTGTACTGTAACTTTGAGATATTGTTATATCCGTCTATGTTAATGTAGGTAGGCCGGTCATGATAAAACATTTTGAAGCACAATATATTGCTACAGAGAAATATAATGCTAAATGATAATACCGAAACTTCTTTATGCCACTGACACAAACAATAAAGCCAGATAGTCCCAAGAAACATTTTTTTTAAATAGACAGATTACAAAATGAGGTAACACTTGCTCATAGAAGCTACTTACTCAACCCTCTACAGCTCAAATATTTTCATACTACAACTAAAATAACAAAAATCTCACCACTATTGCAAAAAAATTGACACATGGTAAATAGTGAGCTTGAAAATATATTGTTCCAACTTTCATATATGGAACAATAAGTCAATAATCAATATAGTAAGTAGGGATGTCAAATTATCGCGTTAATTGCGATTAATTAATTACAGTCAGATTTAGCGCGTTATGTTTTTTAATCGCGTTAATCTCATTTTTATTCTCTAACTTTACTGTTTCTGTATGCGAGTTGCTTTATTATAAAATCTGTTTTTATGTGTTGTTGGGACAACAACACACACACAAAAAAACACATTTATAAATTTTTTTATTTGCCGGAAACCCACACAGAATGCGCGCAGTAAGAGCGATGTAAACATCATGTTAACGTTGGCGGCATCAGTCGCACAATGGACGAGGTCGAAGAGCCAGTAGAACAGAGGCAGCAGTGCACAGGTAAAAACGCATTCGTGTCTTGGAAATTATTCTCCCGACGTGAAATATAAAAGAAAATAACTAATATAATATCGCCTACAATTTAAATGTCATTGGTGAAAACAACCTGCACAGGCTCATGATGTCTGCACTACTGTCCTATAGTGACCTGCCTCATGAGGGGACACGCACACAAACACAAACACACACTAACACAAACACACACAAACAAACACACACAAACAAACACACACAAACAAACACAAACCTTCATCGTCGTCATTAACCTGAGAACGCGCGGACCACGTTTCCTTCCGTAGTTACTGCGTGGACACCGACGTGCTCCCGTGAGCCGTGTGTGGATCGTGTTTTCTCGCCTACGCTGCGTAAACCGCGCTTCCTCCTGTGCGCCTCTAAACCAGAACTAACACCAAGACGAAAACCAGGACTATCCAGTCCAGGACTAAACCAGGACTAAACCAGGTCTAAACCAGGACTAAAACCAGAACTAAAACCAGGTCTAAACCAGGTCTAAACCAGGACTAAACCAGGACTAAACCAGAACTAAAACCAGAACTAAAACCAGGTCTAAACCAGGACTAAACCAGGACTAAACCAGGACTAAAACCAGGTCTAAACCAGGTCTAAACCAGGACTAAACCAGGACTAAACCAGAACTAAAACCAGGTCTAAACCAGGTCTAAACCAGGACTAAACCAGGACTAAACCAGGACTAAACCAGGACTAAACCAGAACTAAAACCAGAACTAAAACCAGGTCTAAACCAGGACTAAACCAGAACTAAAACCAGGTCTAAACCAGGTCTAAACCAGGACTAAACCAGGACTAAACCAGGACTAAACCAGAACTAAAACCAGGACTAAACCAGAACTAAAACCAGGTCTAAACCAGGACTAAACCAGGACTAAAACCAGAACTAAAACCAGGTCTAAACCAGGTCTAAACCAGGACTAAACCAGGACTAAACCAGAACTAACACCAGGACTAAAACCAGGACTAACCCATTCCAGGACTAAACTACTGTAGGACTAAAGTGGGACTAAAGCAGGTCTAAACCAGGACTAAAATCAGTGATCTCATATATAAAGCATTTCTGTATCAATAATATTTTTAATATGGTTAAGGAAAGTCTGGACTTTTTATTGTCTTTAAGTAGACAAAAGTTATTATGTTCAGATTTCCTCGTCTTTGCTACTTTACAACAAACAGTTTCTTATTCATGGAGACTTGGGCTCAACAGCCAATTTGGAGAGATTTGTTAAACAATAAATGACTTTATAAAGTCACTTTTTTTTGGTTCTATATCAGTGTTTTGATCTGCCACAATAATGTAATAATGAATTTAAATGAAAATATCTCAAATTGAAGGCTTTTCTCAGCAATGTTTAGGTGAGATTAAAATTAGATTAATTAGATTAATTAATTACAGATCATAATTAATTAATCTCTAAATTTTTTTAATCGCATGACAGCACTAATAGTAAGTCTTGTGACAGGCATGTAGAGTCATAAACAAAGTAATATTGCTGGAAATATACCAACTTACTTCAAAGTTCAAAGTTTAAAAAAAGTTTATTGTCAAGTCTTCATATGAAATATTTGAAGAATTTAAATTGTGTCTCTCACTTCCAAAGGTATAAATAAATAATAATAAATGGAAAAGTCCAAGTGTTCTTTGGGGAGACGCAGAATCCTAGCTTCCTGGCAGCCTGGTGGTTAGAGAGGGGAGAGACTTCAGCATCCTAACAGTCTGGTGGATGAAGCTATTAGTGAGTCTGGTGGTGCAGGAATGGAGGCTCATGTACCTCCTTCCGGAGGGCAAGGCATATACACCGTATGTCTTGCAGGGGGGGAAGTGGAGCACCAACTTGATACATGATGCAATGCTGGATTTTCCAGTCTTAGGAAAACATACAGTATATGATTATAGTTTGGCTAAGATGATATGAACTCTGTGTTTTACCTTGAGCAGAGCCTGGAGAACTTGGAAAACATGTGTGATCTTCTTTGGAGCTTTGTCTGCCACCTGCCAATCCTCCGTCTGTGAAAATCCATTATATTGCATAAGTTTATGCTTTTATTTTATGTTCAAAGTTTAAAAATAGGATAGGTACCTCAGCAAACATGTCAACCAGCTCCTCCATCTGTTCTTTCTCAAGTTCATGGAGGGTCTGTGGGTTAATCCTGTTCACTTTCTCCCATTCAAGTGGCACAGTCATCTTTGCGGTTTACAGCAAATAATCCACTATAACCTATGTGTAATGTTTATGTTTTACTCGTTAACCTGTTGCAGACTTGTTATCTAGCAAAAAATCCCGCTTGTTGTGAAATAGCATCTCTGGTTAGGTTGCAGTTCCTCGATTCTACGACTAAAAACATTAATGTGCGGTCCATAAATACTCCACTGAGAAATCAGAAATGTGCATTAGGTTTTGCGACGTCCATAGTGCGAACGCTAAAGTAAAACTGCCACAAATATCAACAATTTCCGTAAAAGTCACGAGGAAAATGTAAACAGGAGAGAGAAGAGTCAGGCTGGGCTTCTGCTGCTGCCTAGGAAACCACTGCTGTGTAACTTTACTACTTCCGGTTTAAAACCTTGTCAAAAACTGAACTAAAACGTGACTAAAAAGCTAAAATATGCAAATACATACTTTAATATTGTATCCGATTCGTGTCGCCATAATTTCATCACCGTACACGCACTGACAAAGAAATACAGAGCTGTTTTTGTTCAGGAGCACAGACACTAAGCTCATTTTTAACTAGCGCGCTCGCCTCTGCTCCGGAAGTGATTGGGTGCTCCGCTGTGTAGTCTCTCAAAAGAAAAAATGTTGCCGCTTCGTTTCTAACACAATCTAATCTTTTATTTATCATTCCCAAGTGTCAGATTGAATCGACCTGCATCCCCGCTTACTGTGTGATTGACGTGGTAAGTTGAAAATAAAAAGTAAGACGCGTGCACGTTTTGGAAGGGATAAACCGGTGACAGGCTAGTAGCATTAGCCACAAAATTAGCCACCTTCTTATAAAAATACAGTTATCCACGTTGTAATGTTTTCGGAGATTGCTGCAAAAGGTGAAGAGAGTTTTGAATATGTGGTGAAGAAGGATATATTTACTTTACTGTGAGGAAATGTGCTTAATTTGTGCACCTCTTAAGTTTGAATGCACCCTGACCATCTGAGATTGGAGTGGACAGCTGTCATTGAGGCGTTCAGAGTCATGTCTCGTGCTTCAGTGCTGTGCTTATGTGGAATGCCACAGTCCTCAATACATGATCTTTGCTCCATCTTCATTATACATTTTTGTGTTTTATTAGATCAGAAGTAAAAATGAGTGGTGAAGAAATTTTGTATCTTACAGTAACATGCAGGGTGACCAGAACATTTCTAAATCAAAAACTGGGACACTCTCGGTTTTGGGTGGTTGGTAATAATAAAACTGTGAAATGAGTGCATAATTAAGGAGAACTGTACTGCTCTCGGTCCATTCATGACTAACATGTGAGCCAGTATAGCCACATTTTCCTTGCGTTTTAATCATTTTTAAGCAGCTTTTCTACATTTTACCTCAACAAATGTCAATTTATGCCTCTCTTTACTGTTGGAAGATGTCAGATTGGTCCAAAATAGGGAACCTGAGATATTTCTTGTATAAAACTGGGGAAAATCTGTGGTTTGGGGTAAATCTGCTGGGACAGGAGACACAAGGCTTAAAACTGGGTCTGTCCTGGTTAAACAGGCACAACTGGTCACCTTAAGCAACATAATATTATAAGTTAAAGGAACTTAGTTAAAGGAATATCCTGATGTATTCCTAGTTCCAAAAATCTTAGACATGATGACAAATGTAACCTATCCCCATCAGTGACTCACTATGATTACAGTGAGTCACTGCTGTACACACCTGGGGACTCATCTCTAGATCTTGAGCTAGTCTTGGTTAGGAGGTTTTGATCTGAGCATGTTTTGGGTTGATGGAGGAAAACTTCTGGAGGAAATGCACTCAGATACAGTACTGTATGTCTCTGTTACTTATATGAAAGAAAATGCCTTTATTTACTGTATTTGGCCAAGTTTAATGTTATATCTGCTTATTACTGTATTATTGTTGTTTTTTGTTCTTTTGCCTTCTGTCTGCCTGTAAATTGGTCTGTAGTAATACTATTATGTTGTCTGACTTGGAGCTTAGTGATATTGATGCAAATCAGTGTACACCCGTTATTAGTTTTAATCATAGAGAGTATACTTGATATTCAAATTTTGCATATCTCCATAACCACTAGCAATTTTATTTAGTGTATTGTTCATGTATAAACTTCATTCATCCCCCTCCATGCAGTACTCGATGAGGCCTGGCCCCGGCCATGGCTGCTGTGTCCTGGAGAGAGACTCTTCTGTTGGCTGGGCTGGTGGTGGCATGTTACTGGAACAGTTTGTCCTGTGGTTTTGTGTTTGATGATGTTTCTGCCATCCTCGACAACAAAGACCTGAGACCCTCCACTCCCATCAAAAACCTCTTCCTCAATGACTTCTGGGGCACTCCTATGGCCGAGGTAGGTAACATCTGACAAGTTTTAATAATTTTTTTCTTTTTTTTTAAATTTCACATAGACATTTGACATGAAAAATACTGTCCTTGTGTTGAACCAAAGCTATTTTACATGTAAAACATGTTAAATTTTAAATTTTTTCCCCTAGTGAATAGGTAGATATCCCTGGTGTTGAAAATAAGAAGAGAAAAAATTACATATACTTAAAATTACGGGTGTAATGTGCCATGATGCATCATGATTCTAAAATATGATGATATGGATCATATAAGAGTTATGATGCAGTTCATTCAGATGTGCAGTTGTCGCTGCTCACGCCCACAGACTGAGGGAACGCTAAAGCTGCTAAAAACATGATTAATGACAGAGATAGTATTGTTTTATGTCTGCTATGTCTTCACAGAGCTTTATGAGTGAACACTAAACTTTGGACAAATCAGTGGAGCAGAGCTGAATCTGCCAACTTTCTTACATATGTGAAGTAGCTATGTGCTTGGAACAGGCTTCTCCTCTTTATACAGGCTTCAAACCTGAATAATATGGTAAATAAAACAACACTGCCTTTAGAAGCAGTGAGATAAAACATCATCTAATGTCTCTGTGACTATGTTCTGAAGCTACTGTACTGTGGAGGAGTTTAAAACATTATTTTATATTACCAGACAGGTCTATAAAAAAGACCTATTTAAAATAATTTGTAACAATAATTTAATTCAAGTGGGGCTAAATTCACCATAGAATATTTAATTATAAGACATAGCCAAAATTGTATATAAAATAATAAAAAATAGAAGATCAGGATGATATTGACATCGATAATAAATGCCTAAAAATAAATTCTGGTGAATTGTGGTGAATCATGATGAATTGAATCGTGGGTCCTGCATTTTGAATCAGTTTGGACCGAATTGTAAAATTTCTGAATCATTACACCCCTACTTAAAATGTAATTTTCTTATCTGTCCTGCAAGCAATTTTCCTGGTTGCAAATGCCAAGTACTAATTAAAAACTAAATCATGATTAATTAAAGACTAAAGCAATTATTAAACAAGACATAAAATACAAATGAAATCCACATCTAGAACAGTTATTTGCTAATTAAATGTTAATTTGACGCTCATTGTGACATTTGGAAGAAAGTGCCACAGTCCTACAGCTATCTCCTGGGTTCGTCAAGTCAGTTGTTTGATCTTCCAGTGTTCAGGAAGTTTAAAGTTATCGTGCCTCTTACATCTGCCCATCACTGGTTTCTTTGGCTTTGGGCATAACTTGCGCCTTCATTGCTCGTTTTATGTCTTTATTTTGTTTGTGGTTGAGTCACCACATTTCTAGTGAGGTTGAGCTTGTTTTAGGCTTTTTTGTCTTCTCTGCAGGAATAATGTGGGAAGACTTCTCTTAGACATTATATTGCCTTTAGTGATTGAGCCTGGACTCTAACTAAAGGTTCCTCAGTCTTTTTATGAGTCTGATCCTTCACGTCTCCCTATTCAGTTTGAGACTCAACAGTTTCAGTGCATGTCAAGTCCACTGCAGCCTTTTTTTTTTTTTTTTTTTTTTTTTTTTTTTTGTGGCTTTATTTTTTTCAGAGGTCTTTTTCCTATTTTGTCTTTTCGTGTTTATTTGCTTTTTCCCACCAGCTTTGGTAACACAGTTACAAAGCGCTTTGAGTGTCTTGAAGGTGGAAAAGCACGATATAAACATTTGACCATTTACAGTTGGAATCATCTGGGATTACATTATCTATGGATTCTGGTGATTGAGCTTCCTCTTTGATCACAACTATAGGCTTCTCAGTCTCTAGAGTATGTGTTGTTAATTAGATCTCCATGGCCTTTTGAAGGATCTATGACGTTAGTGATCATCTCAACTTCAGCTACTTTACCAGTGTTTTCTGCTGAAGGTTTGTCCTCATTGTTTTAAAGTTTCAGTGGTGCAGGGAGACATTTATTTAACCTATGCCATCTCAAATAAAGCATCTATTTTCAAGTGACCTGGTGTGTCCGCCCCATAAGCCATCAGCTGTTGATGGTAGCAATAAATCACCAATCTGCAACATATTTTAGAAGTTTAGGACCCGAGTTTCAACAGCTGGGTTTGGTTTGGACAAGGAATAGTAATAACAAACAGACATACTGAGAAGCATAATTTCCAATTTGCTTCCAGTAGTGGGGATTCTTCTAAGCCATTACAGTCTTTATGTATTTTTAGGGATAGGATGAGATGCATTTAGGTTACTCAAAACTTAGTTACTTAATTTTGTCATTCCATTCCACCCTAGTAAATAAGTTCACAACTATAAACACTTTAAGAGGGGGTGTTATGCAAAATTGAACAGTTTGGAGCTTTCTACCCTGTTAAAATATTGTACCCTCAGCTAAAGGGGAGGGGGGAAGCATGGAGAGCAAAGGGAGAGGAGACTCGTAGTGTAAAAAACAAAAGTGAAACTTATAAAACATGAATATGTTGTTTTCTGTGAATATGTGATCAAATGAAACATGGTCTGAACATGTACTGTGTTAGCAATGAATACCCTCTTTTAAACCTGTAACTCAAAGCCTGTATATTGTTTGATTTCAGGAACGCAGCCACAAGTCATACCGGCCACTGACAGTGTTGACCTTTCGACTGAACTACCTGTGGAGCGAGCTCAGTGCTGCCTCCTACCATCTCCTGAATGTACTGCTGCACGTGGTGGTGTGTGTTTTGTTCCTTCGTGTCTCTCGTCTTTTCCTGGATCATAAATACAGTCTGGTGGCCGCGCTGCTCTTTGCTGTGCACCCCATCCACACCGAGGCCGTAAGTGCAACAATTGTTTTCTATTTTTTATCAACATTTATGAGTGTTTAGTGATATGAGGCTGATGCTGTATCCATATTGTATGCTAATGCTGTTAATTACATTTGAGTTTATATTACATAACATACATTGAACTCTCATAAATTCTCATATAGGGGCCTGAACTGAACAAAGGGTAAAACAAAAATATGTCTTTTAAAAGGCAACAACTTAAGATGATGCTGTATTGTAGAGTAAAGGTGTTCAGAAATGGCTGTTAACTTTAAAACTACAACTTCATGACATCATAAGGTGGAACAGAGCATTCTGACATTTCTGAGATCAAGACAGTCTAATAATGCATAGTTACTGAAACGTGTCAGTGAAAGAAATGGGTATGTTTTTGATGAAGCAAGGACATTCCAAAAAAGCTAAAAGCTCACAGAATTAAATTTTGTGTTATTGCACCCATAGTGTGGGCTGATGATGAGTAAAGAGAGAGAGATGCTCTGGAGTGAATAAAATGATCTTTTGCTAAGGATGATGTTTTTAAGATGCTGAGAGAACTGGGAGTGAATGATGATACAGAATTGTTATGGTGCTCTGGACATTATAAAAACATTCTCTTTGTATGTTTGATTTTATGAACTATAACACCCAGTCAAATGAGGTCAGCAATTATAGGGGCGAATTTTGAGCCAGTTCCTTATTAGGAATAGGAATTGTAGAGGGATAGAGAGAAGAGTGATAGTATCCCAATGTAAAGTCAATAGGCTCTGTTCACACTTACGTTACAAACCAGGAAGACATCTGAAAAGATGCGATGACAACTTCGGGTGTAGTTCCCGACACTGGGCTCACTGACCAAATGTAATAAAACCCATTGAGGTAAATGTCATCAGTGGTAAAATAAAGACTGCATATGTATGTGCTGTTTGGAATCATCTTGAATTTGGCGCCTTACCTCTTCTATTCGCATATACCCAGTGCGCTCGGAGTTGTGTGTCAGTGGAGAAATGATGAAAAGTGAGGTATGGTTGAAATTGTTGATTAGCCGACCATAATGGAACACTACAATGACTTGTAGGTGAAGAAAACTGGGACATTTTCTCATTTTTCCTAGAACAGAGCCTGCTGAAAGTTGCAATTGCATGTTTCCAAACGTCTTCCTAGTTTGTGATGAAAGCATGAATAGCCTATTGGAGCCAGAAGCTCACCCGTGAACACTTCCTGTTTGGAACACAGTGGCTGGTGGGTTAGCTATACAGTCTGTGGTAATATGGGAGGCTTTAAGTATGCCATTTCAAACAGCCATTTTAGATCATTATCATTCTTGTTTCCTTTGACTTACAATAGAAAATAGCTGTTTTTCTTTTCATGCCCATTCTGGAGTCGTGTTACAGCACTTTTTATCAGGGTTCTTATCAGTACAATGTTGTAGTTTTGAACTTGATTACCCTGGTGCTGCATAACTCTGCTGAGATCTTTTCATTTCTCAAAGACCCTCTATTTTGTCAAAAGCTGCTTGCCCAATTAGGACGTGTAATTAATCCCACTGAAGTGAATTTGTCCCTGCAGCAGAGACAGACTGCTTGTTCTACTGTTACAAGGTCCTATCAAATCTTCACTGGAAGTCAATGGGAACGATTAGCTTCACAAATAGCCCCTCTGAGTTAGCTTGTCCAATAGCCTCCGTTGCTAATCTAGTCTGAGATCTTCTCTGAGTGCAGCGTTTGTGTTTGGAGTCTAGCCCAAAGCTTTAAAGAGCCCCTCGGAGATAAATGTACAATGCCCTCCTCTGTCAGCCCCACTTATCTGTTCACTGTGAATGGATGAGCTGCCATTTTCTCAATCTCCAAGCAGAAAACTACAGCTCCACCTTTAAAGAAAAGACAAGTTTTCGTGTTTTTTTCTTCCTAATTATCACTCTGTTTGGTGGGTAAATATTTATCACAGTTTTACATCAGTTAAGTGGTTGTTCGGTGAAAAAAAAGCTTTGAGAAAAATGTTGTAAAACCGGGTCTCCACAATTGCAATACTATGTCGAAGACTGTGATTATTTAGATAACAAAATGTCATCTGAAAAGAACAAAATGTCCTGTATTTTTATAGAAACATCTTTTGCAGTTTAGACCTGTACAAACTAGGGATGTAAGAAGAACCGAAATATTGTCTCACAATAACATCGGAGGCCATCACAATATATCGAATTACAAGTCTCTTTGCTTAAATTAATAGTATTGGTTATGGTTTTGAATGTCTTTCTTTGTGATTTGAATGTCTCTCTTATTCTGTATAGCACTTTGAATGACTTTGTGTATGAACTGTTCAGTACAAATAAACTTACCTTGCCTTGCCGTGGTGCAGGAGTAGCTAAAAAAACAGGGAACTAAATAGATTATGATCCTTTGGAAGAAATAACTGTTATTAAGCACTTTTACATCTTAATTCTTCAACAATACTAAAGGCTTTTCAAGGCTTTTAAAAGGAAAAAGTAGCATTTTCACAATTTCATAAGCCTCCACCAAAAAAATCGCAATAAATAACAAACCATGAGATTCATATTGTGAAAATATTGTATTGAGGGATTTTGATATCGTTACGTCCCTACTGTAGATATGTTCTGAAATTCTTGGAATTCTAGTCAGTTAGTCCAGTGGTTCCCAACCTTTTTCTGGCTCTTAGTCCAGAAAAGTTTTTACTGGTTGACTAATTGTGTAAGATTTAGAGGTAAAACAGCAGAAAGAAGAAGGCATGCAGTGAATTGAATTAGTTTCTCAGGTTAATAGAGTTTAGTGCTTCACTCACTGATTCTGCAGAAATTCATGATGTTTTTCAGTCCCGTGTGATATTGTTTCCTTTCCTTTTTTCTTGTAAGCAGTCATATTTGTTTTGATACGGACAGACCATGTGTGTCCCTGATTGGCTAATCCACTTGTCAATCACAGCCCTCTGAACTCGGGGAGATTTACCAGACTTAGACTCAGATTTTCACAGAGTATTGAAGAAGTGTGTGTTCTGGCAAATTAGACTTAAAGCAGACCTATTATTAACCATGTTGTAGTTGTTTCCCCTTCAAAACTGTATGCATAGTGATTCATGCATGTTTGAGTCAGCTATATTATTCTGTATTCAAGAGTCATTGCTCTCATCTACCCTCGTTTTCACCACCACTGGCATGCGCCCACTGTGACATACTTACTTCATTCTCCAATTTGTTTACGCGTAGGATTCTGCAGGGTCGCTTAGTCTATTTGTTTCTTTTATTAAGTCATTTTCGGTCAATATTGTGATTTCAAATGTCCAAATTATAACTCAATGATCCACTGGAGTCATAAATTATTACTATATAACAGACACAAGCACAGTATGTCTTCTTTAACTTCTAATACATTTGACCTCTGACCATGACTCCACAGTCTTTTATGTTGAAGTTGCATTAAATGACCTCCTGTTTCTCCTGAGTTATCATCATTGGTCTGACTGAACACATGAATGCGTTTACATGCGTCAGATCTAACCCTCTGTAGAATTGTGGCAGCCATTTAGAGCTGATTACACAGGACTTAAGGCTAAAAAGACATTTAGTTTAAACAGTTGGACAGGTGCAGCACAGATGTGAGGGCCACTCGAGCACAGGAGCAGGAGCCTTGTGTTTTTCTGTGAAACTACCGCAGAACTGATGGTCTCCTCCCCTTCGTATTAGTGGCACTGTAACAAGCAGCAGATTTTGATTTACTTGTTTTTTTTGCTGAGAAACGGCTACGTGACATTTTTAGTGACCAGAGTCTGACTGTATTTCAATAATCAAGTACAGAGCAGAGCCACAGTACAGAGCAGAAGAGAGGTTGGCGGGAATAGGGGGTAGGTGGAAACGGCAATTTTCTGAGCACTCAAGCGTCAAATGCAGGATAATACAGAATTATTGGAAAACATGTATCAGTCAAAATACAAGATAATAAAGAAACACCAAGACTAGGAATCACAGGTACGATACGCAATACATGGCTCACTATACAATGATATCACAATTACTACTTGTACAAACCAAATACATTTTAACAACAGTATTTATTTGCTAAACTTGCTGCTCAAAGTTGGTATGAAATGCATATTTTTTTAAATCATCAAAATGGTGAATGACAAACGTTTTTTTGTGTAAACAAGTTTCCTTTCTCCAAACAAGCAACACAATTGTAGCACTACCCCAAAAATAATATACTATAAAATAATATAAAATAAAATACTGCACACCAAAAATACTCGTTGTGATATATCTATAGAGCAGCCCACGATGCCAATACTGTATCACCAAATTGATCCTATTATTTCGATATTTTTGCACACCTCTATTAAAAAGTTCATAGAAGTTGATTTCATATATTCCGGCTCCTTTAAAAATGATCAGAATATTCATCGCTTCAGCTTTCTATTGTATGCAAAATTGTGAGTATGTTTTCCCCCTTCGAAAGATATAGTGTTTTGTTTTTAATAGTTGATATGAAAATGGCATTCAGTGACAGTCAAGAGGGTAAATTATAGGCGTTCTGCTAGGTTGTAGCCAAAAGATATTAAAAACAGAATACAATTGACAGTGTTACTAAAAACGTGTGTGTGTGTGTGATGCGTACATGTTTTTAGTAACATCGGCATGTCAATTGTATTTGTTTTTTAAAAAGTGTTTTTCTATACACCTCTGCTCAAAGTCTAAAAGCAAACACTTTTGACAAGACCTAAAATTATAACAAAAATACATATAACTTGTCCTTTACTTTTACATTGATGCACCCGGGGGCATCATTTTCCCCCAAACACTTACGCCAAACAACCACTTTGCATTAGTGTTTATGCTATGGAAGATAATTAGTTTGATCAGGTTTTGAATTTTAAATGCCGTTGAATTTCTCACCTAGAATTTTTTTACTCTGAAAAAACATGTTTGAATTATTTTTATTCTCAATGTCAGTTGATGAAATTTTAAGTGAAAATTATTAAAAGATAATTTAGACTTTTGAATTTGAGAACTTGAAAATATTTGTGCTGAATATATAAAAAGTGATATTTTTATACATACTGAAGGTATACTTAAAATTTCTGTACCTAAAAATTCAGAATAAAAAGAATAAAAAAAAATAAAAATCAAAGTAAGAAATTCAGCGGTATTTAAAATTCAAAATCTGATGGAACAAATTATTTTCCATATCATGCTTGCAGATGCAGATTTTTGACAGTGTATTTTCTCATAGTCAGGTGAATGCTGAAGATTATGATCAGGGTTAGGTTCGGGAACAGATAATATTGAACAGGTTTGCGCTCCGGTTCTTGGCAAAACTGAGCTATAATTTTTTTAGACAAAAGAAAACTATAATAAAGGTATTCATTAACTGTATTTACTGGATCACAAAAATACTGTCAATGTCAGTGAACCGTAATATTTGCTATAATTATATTTCCTCTCTCCAAGAAAAATACCGCACGTATCAATTAGCTTTGACCGACGTGGAACGGGAACACTAAGCCCTGCCTCCGGACAAAATACCAAGTACTTAGGGAGTCTCGCAGGTTTATACTGAGACTATGAGAGCGAAAGTGATCCCTATTTTGTACAATTTTGGAAATGTGATGAATGCCATATTTCTGTATTGTTGATTGTTTGTGTCGTATTATTTGAATAGACCTGTCACAATAACCAATTGATATGATAAAATAATATTGAAACAAATCTACGCCACTGTCACAATAACGCAAGAGCAAATCTGTTCTAAACCTACAATACTGTGAAAGACTTTAGTAGTGAGTTTGTATCTTTATTGGATTATTTATTCAATTTTTTAAAACTAAAATCTATCACATAGTCAAAAAATAACCAAAAATTTGTCAGTGGTGCAAAGAAAATGTACACACGGTAAATACTGACCACAGAAAATGTATTGAACGATAAGTTGATTTAGTAATTATCATGACAAGCCTGATTTTGAAAATACTAGAAGCGCAAAGTATCATTTGTATCATCTGTTTTTGTTCATCTTCTTTTTAGGCCAAATTTATACTTTCAAGGGTCCACCATTCATCTCTAAAATGCGAAACACTAGGCCTGTAAAGTTTAGTGTCCAGTGTTTAGTGTCTCCTGTCTCCGGTGTCAGGTCACACTGAACAGTTCTCTTCCTTCCTCTCCTCATATTTATAGTTGTCTCTTTGAAATCCCCTTTGTTTATGCTACATGCTTATCCCACTTTACCTGTTCTATTGTGACTATTTTTAAAGCTGGTGTGGTTTGTGGAGTTCCCATGGCTTAAAAAACAGAGGTGTAGTTCTACCACTCAGCGGCGCTCTTCTGTCACTCACGGCTATTAGTACAGACAAGTTTTGGTCGATATTTAAAATCTGAATTATGTTGTGAAGTATAGTTTATAGGGATGGTACAAGATCTCGTGACATAAAATTATCAAAATATTGTGCACACATAATGAAAATGATTTTTTTTTCAATTGTTTACGTTTGGATTGCACAAAAAAGGGGTTACAGTTGAGCTACATCTTGCAGTTCCAAAAAGCAGTACTAGTATGGAAACTAAAATATGAAATCTATTAAATAAAAATTGTGAGGCCAATATTTTAAACTGAATTGTGAAATTTTAGGAATTCTGTTAAAATTTCATCTTGTCTCATTCTTTTGGGCTCTCATATTTCCTCCCGTCGCATCTCAGATAGTTTATATTGGATGTTAGTTACGTAATGCAGCCAGTTTAAAAAGAATACACTGGAATCAAAATAAAACTGACCAAACGTGCATAAAAACATGTTTACTATGATTAAAACTGACCATTCAGTTATATTTACCAGTAATATAATTGCTTGGAATCTAAATAAGAAATACAATATTTTAGGTTTTGTAGTTTTTAGTTTCAATACACTCGCATCATTAGTGTGTACATGTACTGGCCTGTTGCTTGAGAACAATGTTCGAATCAAGGAATCGTTTATAGTGATGCTGATGGGAAGCATGTTACAACAAATAATTGGTCAAAAAGTGACCCTGCAAACTTGAAACAATGCAGGAAATGTATGTAATAGAAAAAAGACGTATTATTTAAGATGGAAATGTATTTATTTTGTTATTTTGCCCATTTTCTAGGCTGAAATCCCTCAGCTAAGGTAGCCCTGATCAAGACTAGTTCAAAATCTGGAGATGAGTCCCACTGTTCCTGACAGGTTTAACCCAGAGTCAATGAAGGATGGGTCAAATGCTGAGAACACATTTCACTACGGAGACAATAAAGAGAATCTTAACCTCTTTCTACTCCTCTCTTCTCTCTCTGTCTCTTTCTTTCTCTCTCTAGGTGACAGGTGTGGTGGGACGGGCAGAGCTCCTCTCCTCCATCTTCCTCCTGGCTGCGTTTCTGGCCTACACCAAGTCCACCAGCCCAGACCACTCCATCGGTAAAAGCCGACATTTCAGTTAATTAAAATGCAATGTTCCCCTCTCAGACGAAACCTGTATTCTGTATCTTCATATTACACTACCAGTTAAAAATTTGGCGTTTCTGTTTACTACTTTCTAGATTTTATATACTGTGCATACAGATTACATCAAATATATGATGCATGCAATGTCAAAAAAAAAAAGTCACTAAATCACTAAACTAAATATATACGGTATATTTATATTTTATATTTAAAATCCTCAAAGTAGCTCCCCTTTACTGCAAACCTTTGGTCACTGAGTTGAAGTCCCTGCAATGTTTTTCACTTCACCGATGTGCCTTGTCATGGTTCTTTAGTGTTTTAGTGTCTAAACCAGTTCTAAACCAGGACTCAACCAGGTCTAAACCAGTTCTAACCTAGGATTCAGCCATGCCTAAACCAGCTGCTGTGGCTGACCGATATTTGCCAATACAGCGTTTTGGCTTTTTAAATGCTTTAGCTTTGCCAGGAAAGTTTCATACGTCATTACAGCTATTTACTGCTCAAAATACCTTGTTACTATAAGCAGGGTCACCTCGCCACAGATCTGACCTGTATTTTAGCCAGGACTAAACCAGAAATAAATCCAGACTGATACAATAGAGATAATAGCAGAATACTTAGTACTTCACATTCTGTTGTGCCATTTTAAACCACCAAATCCTTTCTAAATATGCAATTATATAAACAACAGTGATCTATAATTTGACCTGTACAGCGGTGCACAATGGAAAACTGAAGTCACTGATTCCCTGGGATAGACAGTTCATTATGTCTTTATTATACGGGTGAAATAATAATTATACTTATTAATTCTGACAGGAGAACACTGGACATTTTTAAACAAACTACAACAAGCCTGGAATGAAAATTATATGTAAACAAAATGTACAAATCAATTAACCACAACTGTCATATGTGCAAGGATTCAAACAGAGCAAACCAGAACAAGAGCAGGTCTTAAGCAAGGCTAAACTAGGGCAAAACCAGGACTAAACCAGGACTAAAACAAGTCTGAACGGGGACTTCATGGGGACTAACCCAGGACAAAACTGGGACTAAAACAGTCTGTGAACCTGTTCCTTGATGTAAAGCATTTTGAGTGCCTCTACCAGGTATAAACCTGGACCAAACAAGGACTAAAACAGGACTTAACAGGGAGTTAAACAGAACTGGGAATAAACTGATGATTCTCTTATATACTCTGCAAGATTTGAATATCTTAATAATTGCAATATGTTGTCTTAATTATTAAAGATACAGTATGCAACTTTTTTGCCCAACATAGACTAAAATAAAAGCATGTTTTTTTTCCCCATTTAGTTGTGTTTATTGCACTGAAAAACATGCATTCTTATTGTGAGCTGTTATTTCTCAAGTAAGTTCCTCCAACTTTGCCTTATTGCTCCATGTCTCAGTGACAATCCAAATGGGAACTCAGAAACGGTTGTAATGATAATTAAATGGAGACTTCTTCATTGCACCTGGCAATGGGTCAAAAATGGGATTATAAATGTGCTGGCAGGGAGCGGTCTGAAATTCCCCATGTAAATAAGATGTAATAGTTTCTCTAGGCTATAATTTGATTAATGCTCCACCTATGAAGTTGCTTAATCTCCCGTGTGCATAACCTTATTTTACATGTAATGGTTGAGTAAATCCGTTGTCGGTGGCATATTTATGAAGAGTTAAATTTGCAAAGCTCCCTAACATATCATTATGTTATAAAGAGCTATATCGTGCTGAAGGCTGTTGCTATAAACAAACCGAAAAACACAACAGACATCGGATGTGCAAAGGGATACCTCAATCAATATTAAGCCAGAGGATAAGTACGTAATCATAGACTTTGACAACTCTATTGTGAGACTGGATTTAAAAAGGCCAAAGCTATTGAAAATCTGATACTCCCATGGACGACTATGGAACCTACCTGGACGTCTGAGGGATTACACAGTTATAATACCAGATGGTAGTAATATAAAAGAACCTATGGTACTACGATTTTAATATTAAAATGTTTTATTATCATGGTGATATTAGGATTGGTATTGAGTATTGAGTTTATTCCTTACTATCAAAATGAAGTTTGACATTTTTGTATCATTTTAGTACATTCACTGCTGTTCACTGTATTGGAAACGCGCTGGTCATCTTGAGTGTTGTAAAATGCTCTATAAATATTGATTGAAGTAAGGCAAAGTGTAAGATTAGATTTAAAGATGCACTGTGTAACTTCTCTGGTTTAGGATATTCTCCCCATGGAAATGTTGTTTCGTCTGGCATGTGCCACAATATGCCATTAAACTTATGGAATTTGCATATATTATATTATATTACAGTCAAATTCTGAATAGATTATGCAAGATTATGTACCTTTTTAACCAAAAGTGGGCTTGCGTCTCTTTAGTTGGCCTGGAGGAGGGCCTGCTCCTGCTTGTTTCCTTGGAAATGTTGTTCATTGGGCTATAATATTTCACAATATGGCATAAATCTTACCTATCTTATTGGAGAATGTTATGCTAAAGTAGAGTTTTAACTTTCTATTTCCATTTAATTATGCGTGTGTCATGCCACCTCCAGAAAAATGATAGTATGTTACTTTCTTGCTCCCAGTAACAATGCTTTTTAAAATATGGTTTTAAAAACATCCAAAATGAAGAAAAGGATGCTTTTATTTTTGTCTACTTTTGGCAAAAAATTAAGAACACACAAAGAAATAAGAAGTCACCCCCACTCACAGCTTTCCCCCTTAAGCTACTGCCTCATCAGAGAGACACTGAATCTAAATGAGTTATGTAAACACTAAAAATATTGTATGTTGTGCATTTTCTTCCACATAGTTAACACCCTCCTTTGTATTATGTAATCAAAACACTGCATGTAAAACGTGACACTCTTATTGTCATATAGGCCACTGTTTGAATCACACTGAAACAAGCTACTGAAAACCAAAGAGGACTCAAAGTTAAACCTGAGTGACCTGGAGTTGGAGGCTATGTCAGGGGACGCTTCACCATTTTCATGCTTAAAATTTGGAATCTGTCATGAGACAAAAGGAAGAGCAGCTGATGATGTCCTCTGTGTACACACCACAAAGAACAAAGGGCAAGAAGTGTTTTTTCTACTATAGTTATATTAGGTTGGGATTAATTGTTGAGAGTTTATGACAGGTTAGGCGACCAATTTCATTAAATATAGTTGGTATCATTCCTCATGTTTTCCACAAGCATATACTCCTAAATAATAACAATCTAGCATGGCTGATTGGGAATTTGTACATGTGAGAGGGGAGTGGAGTTCAAAACAATTTGTGAAAAAGCCTCACTTTTGTACTAGATAAGTAATGTAATCTCATTTCATTTACCCTGACAGAGGAGACCTTGATCATGGTGCCAGTTTCTGTTTAAGGTTTAACGGCCCATTAATTAGAGATAATAAACCATGACAACAAATTAGCATTTTGCCAGTGAAATTCTGACCTGTCCTCCAGCTTGTGTTGTCACAGTACTAAAATTTCAAACTTTGAAGGAATCACAATGATAATAAAATCAAATTTTAGTGAATAGAATGTGATTTTCAACACTAAATCGTAGTAATTCCATAGTGGCCCATAGTGGTTCATGGGTGTATACTGTGCTCTTACACTTCTCATCCAGCTCAAGATCATTCTAAAGCTGTTCAGGAAAGGTTCATTTTTGTACTGTGAATGGGAATTTTTAGTATCGTTACCTGCTCAAATGAGTGTCTAGTTGTATACTTTTTTAGTTTTGATTAGTATTAGACTGTTTTAAACTATGGACACTTTAAAATGTTTTGATATCATGTCTTCATTTCATAGTTTAAATGTGTGTTTTGTTGTTTCAGTTTGGAGCCCTATCGCGTTGACGGTGGTCCTGGTTGCCGTGGCGACGCTGTGTAAAGAGCAGGGCATCACTGTGGTGGGGGTCTGCTGCGTGTACGAGGTCTTCGTCGCTCAGGGGGTCAGTATTAACCTGATTCATCAGCCAGTTTCACTTCGTAGAAACTGTCTGACCTCGCAGAGTTAGAATTCATTCGCTCGACAATAGGCGTGTACTTTTTTCATTTAACCAATCGCTGCTGTTTGGTCGTGACGTATGTAATGCGCTGCTAACAGGGCTAACGGGTATATTAAGCTTTTCCCAAATCCCGTTTGAAGAAGAACAATAATGTCTTTCCCCTTCATGAAATTCACTGAACATTCTCTTTGTTCTGGCTTTAAATCCTCGATCTCGGGAATCGTTGCCAACACTGAATATATGTCTCTTCACTGATTGGCTGGTGCCCGAACTCGCACTTCCGTGGGTTTTGTGAACTATCTAGTCCAGGGGTGCTCAATACGTCGATCACCAAGGTCGTGTAGGTAGATCGCCGTGTCTTGTCTCGGACTCACGTTTGGACTCAGTCTTGTCTCTCACTCAAGGTCTGACACTCAACAAGTGCGATCATATTTCATTACGGCCGCTGCTGTTGGCAATAAACTTGTACCGGGGTGCAGGAGCATGTGGGGCGTCTCAGTGCAGCCTGTGCGCTCATTTGAAACCCGCGGAGACTCTACGGCACATCACAAACACACACGCTCCCTATGCACGGCTCGTCTGCAACAGCGTGTGCCCTCGTGTACCAACGTGCATCACAGGGCAGGTTCAACTTCCTAAACATCAGTGCAGTTCAGTGCAGTTTGCTTGGCATTGTATTAGGTAGATCATTATGACTTGGTCATTTTGTAAGTAGCTCACATGCTGAAAAAGTGTGAGCACCCCTGGTCTAGTCTATTCTGATTCCTGACCTAGTCGCTGGAGAGAAATTAAATTGAATGGTGGCACTAGGTGACGCCAGCCTGGCTAGGTCAGTATATGCTCCCAGTGTCATTGATACACTTCAGGAAAATGTGTGAATTAAAACCCAGAGATTATGATTAACATTTTCTTATCATTATAATGTACACCACACACTTACTGGAATTTGTATAGTTCATTTGTATAAGTAATATTTTATACTCTTGTCTCAGGGAAAGTTCTTATGTTCTTTTGAAAAAGAAAATAAAAAGTTAAAAAAATATATATATGCCATATTACGCTATTTTTGGATCAGTGTTATAATGTTGTTTTTCATCAAAACACACAAACCCTGTATTTTTGAGTTTGTCTCTGTTGAACTCCCCCTTGCTGTTTCTTACCCCTTCTCTCTCCTCTCTCTTTCCTCAGTTCACGCTCCCTCTTCTCCTGGACACGGTCAGGCATGTAGTCCTGGGTAAAGATGGCTTCCCTCTGGCTCTGCTGCAGACGCTTTTAAAGCTCATCGTTCTGGTCATCAGCACTCTGCTCCTCGTCATCATCAGAGTGCAGGTCATACAGTCCCAGTTGCCTGTCTTCACCAGGTAAAAATATACAACTTTATGTATACACTACAGGTACACCACTTCCAGAAAAAAAACACATTAAAGGGCTTGTACCTGATTTTTCATGTATTTGAGCAAAATTCGGCTTGCCCCAGTACAGATACATTGTATAATCAGTAGGGATGCACCGATCCAGCTATTTCTGTTCTGATACTAACCAGTTTAGGAATTTGAAATGGAACTTTATCTCTCAAAACAGATTACCAGATATGATCCATTTGCTGTGCAACTTGTATATCCTGCTAGTAAGTACAGAACAGCTGTGTATGAGTAAAAGTTCAAACATAATGAGATGTCCTAGTCCAATGTCAGTCAGTAAATAGTCTTATTACATCCAGTTAAAGGCCCAACGAGGATAGTGACTGAACTGATATGGAACCAATACCCAATCCAGCAAATTTCCCTGGATCAGCGCTGATATTCGATACCAATATCTGTGCATCCCTAAAAATCAGCTCTTGAGGTCAGAATAAGACCACTGTGTCCTGTCTGCTTCAAATTATCAAGCATTTTATTATCCGATAATCAGGAAGGGTGTGTTAACATTCTAGTTGTTGTTAGCTTTTCTGTTGTGACAAAACTCTGCTTTCGTCTCTGAGAGTTGTGAAAAATGCTTAGAAACTGACCATCCTAATTATTCACTGCGATGAAGTATAGAACATAACTTTTAACCAAAAAGAAATATGTGCATATTTACTGTCAGCGGGTTTGCATCTCCACAAACGTGACTCTTATATGGCCTGAAGGAGGACTGCTCTTGCTTGTTTCCATGGAAATGTTGTTTCTTTAGCTATGATATTTCAGAGTATGGAATAACATGTTTTCATTATGATGGAGAAGTTGCAAAGTATGATTTAAATTGGAGTTTCTGTTGAAAGTGCAGGTTTTAAGAACGTGTTATCTGAGAATTTATTAGTGACAGGAGTTATACAATGGTATAAACTTTTTTTACATAATCCAACCTAAATCAAGTCTTAATTCTTGTTTTAAAATAAACAGGCGCATCCAGAATTCTGAGAACTAAAAGATTTCCATTAAACAGTTTCTGCTTTGGTGCAGACTCAACGTGCCAATGATGGGGAAGTGTTGTGGTTTTTGGCTCTTTGTAAAGTAAGTGATTTATTGTAATTGTAAAATTGAAACATTTCTCAAACATTTCCCAACAGAAATAATGATGTAACAAATAAATCAACTTGAAGTGTAGTCTAATTTATTTTATTCAACAAGACAAGTCAGTATAAATGGGATTACACAAAAAGCACTTTGTGAGATCTCTACCATGCTATGAAGTTCAACATCTGGAGTTGTATTTATTTGAGCCAACCAAAAGATTAACTGGTTCTGGTTGAGTAAGCTGCCATGTCCAAATGGATATCCCACCAAATATAATGGTAGTTTCAGGGATATTTTGTAAAGAAAGATTTTGTGTAATTGGCTTGGAATTTGGGGACAATATTAGCACATTGTGCTAATAGTGGATAACTGATATATTTTTGTTTTTTTGTTTGGTTTTTTTTTTATATGTGATGACAATTTGAAAATAATCTCTCCTCCTTAAGTAGGGATGTGTGATATGCACATGCAATATAAACTTGTATGTTGTCTGTGTTTCTAAAGTTTTAAAATTGCAACTGCAAAGGAACCTGTGTTGCCAGTGCCTTAACCTGCAGGTAGAGAACACATAAAACTTTTTCTCCTTCTCAGTATTTGGAAAGGCCTTGCCTCATGTGAAAGCTCAGCACCTCCAGAATTCCCTCACTGAGCTGCAGAGGCTGCACTAGCACTGGCTCATGACTGGCTGCAGGTACTAAAGTTTAGGTAGTGACCAACTGAATTTCAGCATTGAAACTGAACAAATGAGAGATTTATGTGAGGCTCATTCTGCCTTCTGATTAAATTGTCCAAAGAACCAAAACATGTTTTTGTAATTAAGAATTATTATTGTTGTTATTGTTATCACTAAAAGCTATATTTAAGTTGAACATGTTTACCTTGTATGCAGACACAGATAGGTCAGGTGTCTAGTTTATAGAATTTAAAACCAAAATTGTACACTTCCTTTAACTTTTTTTTTAGCTGTTCATTATATCTAAATGCATGCTGAAGCATGACATGCAGAGAGAGGTATGGATCAGGCCAACCACTTAAACCACTTCTTCAGTAGATTTGATTGTGCTGTCACATCCTCCACTCGCACTGTCATCCCACATCAACAGTGACAGCGCTCAGTATTTTGACTGACACTGTATCCTCACACGACTGCTCCACAGAGAGCATCACTCAGCAACTCAGATGAATACTCGGTTTAGAAAAATTTGTGCCAAGAAAGCAGTGGGGCCACATGGAATATCTCCAAAGACTCCCTGTCCCTGTCCCCAAAAAGCCTTATCCCAAGGATTTGAGTGACAACAGGCCAGTGCCCCAGACAATGCAGCAACTGGTCCTCCACCACCAGCTCAGACCCCAGATCGGCCATGCCCCGGACCCTCTGCAGTTTGATTATCGGGAGAATATGGGAGTGGACAATGCCGTGCTCTACCTGCTCCATAGGTCGCTCTCTCATCTTGAGAAAGGCAGTTGTGCTATGAGGATGACCTTTTTTGACTTCTTCAGAATAATAAATTATTCGGGATAATAAATTATTATCTATCCATCTACTGTATCTATCTTGATTTCCTGATAATAACCTTTTAATAAAACTGACCCCTGTGTAAACAAGACTAGGACAAAAATATCACTTTTAAGTTCAAACTGTTGTGATTCTATACTGAACATTTCATTAGGTTTGTCAAGTTGTGTTGAGCATTATATCATACTTAATTGTTATGTGGGAGCATAGGCAACGTGGGCTGAGCATTGGTCAGAGTTGTACAGCAAACCATAAGGAGGGTTAGTGCCTGCGAGAGATCGTTAGATTACTGGAACATGCATGGATGACATCTAAAACCTCAGGCATGTTTTTGATGAACGAACAGTTGAACATTAAACAACTCTGTCTTACATTTATACAGTTACATTTGGTTTTATAGCTCTAAAATGCCTAGAAAAACAGGCATTCTGACTGAGCAGGGGTTGTCTCTCCACAGATCTGACCTGTAACTTGGTTTGATTTGGTCTCTATGATGACAAAAAGGTTTAATACCGGATTGTGTCAGTCCAGACAAAGCGGTAACATCTCCATGGAGAAAAGCATTTGATAGACAATGCACCAGAAAAGCTACACAATGCACCTTTAAATTACAACCAAAATTATTGTGACTGTAAACAACAGAATGGAATGAATTTGGGAAAACTACTCTATTTTTTCTGAAAAGTACTGAAATTGAAAGTACAATTTTAGAAGACTGAAATCTGAACTGCTAAATTAATACAAGAATCCCATGTGAATTCTTCTTACACTTCTTTTTACACGTACACAAACGGTTTGTAGGGTGGCACCTGCATTCCCAGATGTTAAATCATATCCCATATTAGCCTGGCAACAGTAATGTCTGTTTATACAAATTGCCACCACTTAAATAATTAAAGGACAAATATTTGCATACTTATAGGCCTGTTATCGGAAAGACATTTAATTAGCTGATAACCGACAACCCCAGACAGCAGTTATAATGGTAAATGGTAAAATGGTAAATGGTCACATTTTTCTACAGCACTTTTCCACCTTCAAGGCAGTCAGAGCGCTTTACAACAAGGAACCACTCACCCATACACACACCAGTGTACGCAGACACTGTGGGCAAGGTGGGTTAAGTGTCTTGCCCAAGGACACAACGGCAGCATTCATCTGTGGGAGCTGGAATCACACCAGCCAACCTGTGGGTCAGTGGATCTGACCGCTCAACCTGTGATGTTTATGTCGAGAGCTGGAATCGAACCGCCAACCTTCAGATCAAAAAACCTGTGAAAAATCTAATCAAATATTTGTCCTTTAAATGTGCGTGATGTAACTTTTCTAGTGAGGTTCTGTCACCTGTTTGTTGCAAAGAAGATATTATTGCTTTGCCTATATGTTCTACAGTTTGGCATTAAACTTGTATGTTTGTTTAATGTATAAAATTATGCATCGCCTCCACAGATCTGACATGTAACTTGGCTTAGTGGTGTGACCTGTGTGTCTCCGTGGAGATAGAATAATTATACTATACTGTGGAACATTCTAGGTAAAGCAATAACTTCCAGAAACGAGCATGTGATGGACTATCTGTTAGAAAAGTTACATAAACCATCTTTTTAAAATAGTAATATACATTTATAAAATCATCCTGGTTCATTCAAAGTATGGGCAGTTCATATTAAAATGTCATGTGCACCCAAAATATGTGTAAAAAATCTCAAATTTCAGTTCGATTTAGATTAGATCAAACAAAGTAATGTTGCTCAAAGTTATGCAATCTGTTATGTGCTCTTTGTCACGAAAACAAAAAAAAATAATGAAAAGTTTGAGTCATGTGTCACCCTGTACTGACGTTACAGCACCTTCCTTTGGCGGCACCTGCGGGCGAATTGGCTGTCAGAAACTGGGATAGCCCAACTCATTCAAATGATGGATTAGTCAGTATACCAAAGAATTTCAAATGTCTTGTATTTTCTGACAGGTGCAATCGTAAATCAACTTTGACATGATGAAAAGTAGTCCTGCCCATCAGTAAGGAGGTTATGGGTTAAACTCCTGATCTCCGAGTGTGCATGTCCTCCCTGTGTTGCGCTGGCAGTGTGGTTAGCCAGTCTCCTCCTCTCAGTTAGGGTGTCTTGTGTGGTGTGGGATGACCTGTACCTCATGATTGCAGAAATGTATTATAGTGAATAGACAAGGAAGGCCCTATGTTCTTGTTGGTTTAAAGAAGGAACTATAATTACAACTGAAGCTAGAGGACACATACAGGTTTTTCTCATTCTCAGTCTATGGACAAGCCAGAATGCTCAAAACTCAAAAGCTCAGAATCTCCAGGATTAAATCACTGGGCTGCAGAGACTGT